TTATGCTTCGACCAGTCAATGAAAAGATGGTCATAATTGTATTACGTTTGGTAAACCAAGTTGAACCTTTCTCTCTTTTGTCAGCGCTACTAAATTGCAACCATGTAACAATTTCACCAGGTTTATAATCGTTGAGATCTTGTTCCGTGAGATCTATACATCGGTACACTATTCCCCAGTAGTAATCGATATATGATAAACCTTTAATTAGATAATACATAATCATGGCTGCATTATCACCAACATTAGTTAAATCTTTTGATGCCATTAAGGCAGCATGTTTACTTTGCCGAGCGACGATATTTGCTGCCATACTCATCGGCGCGGAGTATTTACCAGTATAAAATGCGATAGCCAATGCAAATGCCTGTGCGTCATCGCGTCCAACTCCTCTTTGCGTGAAATATCGAAATGTATCTTTACTCTTTTTATCGTGCATATCTAAATCTTCTGGATCTTTGTCGTATTGTGCAACAGCACTTTTCAGATTACTCAACGACACTTTTACACCATTATTTAACAATTTTTCAAGTGATAATCCAAAATCATCTTCGATTACTGCATATTCATGCCGTTTTTCCCAGAGTTCAGTAGCATCTTGATAAAGTATTGCGCCTTCAAGATATAGTTCCACGATTTCAGAATCAAATTGACTTGAGTTGGGCAATTTTTGGTAATTGGGTATTTTACCAATTGGTTGTAAGTACATTCTTTGTGGTACCTTGTTACTTTTATCTCCATAGGTAACTTGAGCTTCTTGAACTTTCTTGAACACGTCCATATGACTGTGGCGTTCCAATAAACGATGTGCCTCCGATTCATCCATCATATATTCATTTTGAGAGTCATCATTCTCATCAGAAGAAGCCATCGTTCTAGTTGGTTTATGAACAAAGTAAATGGATGTAAAATGTTAATGGTCGATGTACTTCGCTTTACAATAGAATCTTTCAAGTCGATCCGTTTTCATTTCATTGAACTTTTGTTTACATCTACTAGATATTGCATTCTACGGAAAATCCTAAGTAGCTTTGAACTCAATAAAATATAATTGGTTTAAAAATTCTGTTATACCGTATAAGCATACTATCGATATCAAAAGATCATTATTGCTATAAAAATATGTTTTAAGACTAGTAAAATTCTTGAGAGTATTAGCAAATATCTCTTATGCACATGAAGAATCACAGATTTTTAGTAATAACTATGTTTAAGTGTGCACAGGTGTCAAACTTGAAGGTTGAATCCAATTAATGAAGCTCAGCTTCAATTGCTCTTCGGTGTGAGTGAAACAAAAGGAATTCATTTTTTGAATAACTGAATAGTTGAACTATGACTATGATTACAAATATTGAATAGTTGAAATAATTGATATGATCGAAGTTCAGCTTTTCAATAATTTAGCAGTTAAAGGTCCCCTCACGAAAGCCAATTTTCATCAAAGAACGCCCAAATCAATTGAAATTAGGAGGATATGTTGATGCGACAGTGGGGAGTCTGGGATATAATTTTCAGTTCCAAATCTTCATGTTTAGGGGAAGTATGGACCAAACAAGGACTAAAAACAGCTCATTTGACATCCAAAAGTTCTATTCTGGTACGTGTGGCATCATAAATATTATTTTTGTTTGAAAGCATACATCAAGGCGCAGAGTATGACATCACTCTTTTTTAAGGTTGATTTTTATGCTTGAAAAAGTTATCACAGGTCAAAAATGGCGAAAATAACTGTACCAAAATTTTGTAGAAGACAGTTTATGATCCTAAAAATGAGCTTTTTAAAAAAGTGTGATGTCACACCCGGCGCCTTGATCCACTTTTTCAAACAAAAACAAATATCATAGTGTTGAACGTATCAGAAGAGAAAACTTTTGGATGTGTTGTTCAGAAATTGACAATTGAGAGAAAACGGAAAACATTTGTTCGAGCGACTTTTTGCTTTTTTTGAAATTTTCATTGTGTTTTTTAAGGAACTGACTAAAAGTAACCTACGTAACTTTCATTTTTGTGCACATTGCACACTTTATTGATTGTTGAACAGCTACTGAAGCAATGCTTCGAAAAGTATGAGTGACTTATTATCTACTTTCTTCGAAACGTACTGGTAGCATTTTGCATAGGTCAATTACAAGAATGACAGAAATTTTCGTTCAAAAGCGGGGTTCTCAGGAAAATCCCATAGTGTTTCTGAAAAAGCTTGTTAGTGCAGCCCCTTTGGGGCTAAAATGTGGAACTCACATATATCCCTTCGGCTTACTAAAATAATTCAAAACAATTCATCTGAAAAATCTACCCTAATTTTCAAAACCTATAATTAGATCATTGCCTATTTGCACTTATGTCTGTAATTGAGTATTAATTGTCAGCTCGTATATTTAACAATGGCAGATGCTAGTTACTATGGTTTGTAATGGTACCTAAGCTAGTTACTATGGTCTGTAATGGGCAGGCATAGCTTTTTCGTGTAGTCTGTAATTAAAAAGGGAAGAAATAGCAGCCTAATTAGTCAAGCTTCTAATTAGCATAATTTTAAACTCATTGATGTCTGTAATGGGGAGGGGGTGGGGAGCCGCAAAAATCTCGCCTTTAAACTTACACTCACCATTTTCTTCGAAAATATATGTGAGTTCCACAAAAGCAAAAGGCGGACCATCGTCTTATCATTAAATCTCAATTTTAACTTTTCTAACGAAAATTTACTTTTTTTGGAGAGGAGGGATGGGGTGGCTGAATGGTTCAATAATTTTATAGTTTCATAATCGAATCGTTTAATATTTAACATAATTGAAGCAATTCAGATACTCTTATATAATTGAACACATTATAGTCTTTGTTTGTTCGACTACCCAGAAAAGTATACACCCATTCCATTGTTTCTTTACTCGTTCTAGTAGATGCCGTACAGATGATATTTTCTCATTTCTCAAATCAACACTCGTCAAATCTTTCCCTTCTGATAAAATCTTTTCTTTTCAACAAAAGAATATATACCCCAAAGACTTCTGTTAATGTAATTGAAAAAGAACAACGAATGTCTTCAAATACAGAAAGAGAAAAAAGCTTTTTGTTGATTTTTTTTTCTACAGTGACTGGATACTCAGTACAATACTTGATACTTTTGTACTGCTCGAAATGAAAAATCCAAGTAAAAAGTAAATTTTTGAAGTAAAAGTACATTTACATGGAATAGAGTGTAAAAACTTTCGACATAAAAAAGTACAAATAGGAAAAATTAATTTATTCGATATATCATCTTCTACTTCACAATAAACTTTGATTTACTTTCAAGAATACTAAATCTTTGAATAACCGCTCGCTCATATTAGTTCGTCGTGATGAAAGAATCAGACCCGCATGTGAAAATACTCTTTCTATTGGCGCAGATGACGCTTGAACGGAGAAAATACGTTTCACTAATTTCTTTAAAGAAGTCAATCGAGAAGTTGACCAGTAATCTGAAAATCTTGTTCTTATCGGATCATTTATATAGCTATCTATTTCAGCAACAGGATCGGATACCATTGTGTCGTTGGACTTCTCATCATATTCATTGTATACAAATAACTTCTTTTTCAATTTCGATGTCGTTAATAGAACCGATACAGCTTCTGATGTAGCTTTTGGTGATGGTAAGGTTGAATCTTGACTGATTTCATCAA